ACAGACTGAGGGACAGCATACATCGTGTTGATTACAAAGCTGTAAGCGAGCGGAAAAAGGGTTGTCTCAAGAGGCGAGTATACAATGTTCAAGGACCAAATCACCTTTGGCACATTGACACGAACCATAAGTTAATAAGATGGAACTTAATAATTGCTGGGGGAATAGACGGTTTTAGTCGTCTTATTACATTCTTAAAATGTCTAGACAACAACAAAGCCGATTCATTGCTTCAAGTATTTTTGGAAGGAGTCGACTCTTTTGGGATTCCCCTGAGAGTAAGGTCCGATAAAGGCTTAGAAAATGTGGCCATTGCAGATTTCATGATAAAAAAGAGAGGTACCAGTCGTGGAAGTATGATAACGGGGAAAAGCGTTCATAATCAACGTATTGAACGTTTGTGGAGGGACGTATACACTGGTGTTTTGTGTTTCTACTACCATTTGTTTTATCATATGGAGGATGAAGGAATCCTGGATCCCTTGAATGACTGCCATATCGCTGCTCTCCAGTATACATTCATCCCTCATATTAACAACAAACTCAAAGTATGGAGAGAAGCATGGGCACATCACAGGATTAGAACAGTGAAGTCCTCCCCAATAAATATGTGGATTTCAGGAGAAATGCAGAATACCGTTGGAATAGATGATGAGGACATTGAGATGTATGGTGTTGAAGGATCACTAGAATCCAGTGAGAATTTGGAGTCAGAGGACACCAGATCTGTACTTCATTCCGTGTTGTCTCATGTAGTAAACGACCATTGTCGTATCGAGCTAAACGAAAGTACTCCAAATAATAGCACATGGATTAACACTGACAGTGGGATTCAGATGTATTTACGAGTATTGGAAATTATAAATAGAAATAACTTACACAATATGTAATTGCTGAATTAGTCTCTATATTGTACTTAGAAGTGAAAAATTCACTTGTACCTTGTCAACCATGCATCATGAATAAAACTAGTCAAGCATTCACATATTTTATTCAAATTCAATCAAAACAAATTGTGAAAAATATAGAACAAACAAAAAGTCAAAGTCAGTTTTGACTATATCTAATTAATTATAGAATGGTAATCCCTTTCAAGGAATATTCCACATAAAACTGCAGTGGAGCAAATCAATATATGATGTTTTATTTTTGGTGTACAATTTGCATATACTGGTATTGCAACAAATATTACAAATTATTTTCAAACATTTATCAACAGGTGCTTAGACAATGTTTGTAAGAGTGTAAAACTATCAGATATAATTCATATAATCCGTTTGACATTTGAAAAAAAAAATCTCCCTGTCCTTGAAGCATTCAAATACAGTACATACATGTATTTTCCAAGTCTCATATGCCTACATAAAAGCTAACAGTTTTCAAAATTGTGTTTTAAAATGCAAAGTTATTGTTACATGACATAGGTTTTGCTAAGATTTCTACTAACTGATATAAGAAAAGAATTGGAAGCAAATACAAGAGACCCATGGGCCATAAATGCATAAGTGGTCCAGACCTACCCCTAAAAGGGGTGAGGGGGTTACGATTTTAACAAAATTACACCTGTACTATTAAAGTAAGGATGCTTAAATATTTCTTTGATTATCTGTTGCTTTTTTTCCTACAAGTTTAAACTTTCATTGTGGTCCCATCCTTCCCCTGGGGGTCATGACTTGAACATATCTGAATGTACACTACCTGAGTATGCTTCCAAATAAAATTGACCAATGTTGGTTTTGCTGTTCTAAAAAAATTTTTTTTTAATTCCAATGTGTTCCTTTGCATAACTTTGCTTGTCCATTGTAGCCCCACCCTACCCCTTGGGGTCATGATTTGAACAAACTTGAATCTACACTAATAACCAATGAGGGCTTTGCTGTTCTCTAGAAGATTTTTCCTATATACTCTTATATTGAACTTTGAATAATGTATTGTACTGCTTTATCCAATATCACATTAGTATTGTATACTATGAGTGGAACTGTGGGACTGAGGATAACTTGACCAGAGGTTTCACCCCCCCCCCCTTCCCCCCAATTTAGGCTCTTTGAGAGTCATAATTTTTGTAATATATGTTGTTATGTTCTATTTTTGTAAACTGAAGGGCTGTATTGTCCAAAGTTATATTCTGAATAAACTATTATTATGTAAATCTTTGATTGCCCATTTTGGCCCCACCCAACCCCAAGGGGGCCATAATTTGTAAAGAAAAAAAGTGAATCTACACTACCTGAGGATGTTTCCATATAAATATGACCAATCATGTTCTTTGCTGTTCTTGAGAAAAAGATTTTCTCTATACATTCCTATGTAAAACTTTGATCGTCCATTGTGGCCCAACCCTACCCCCAGAGGTTATGATTTGAACAAACTTGAATCTACACTACCTGATGACAATTCCTTGAGTTCATCTTTCCTGGCCTAGTGGCTCTTGAGAAGAGGATTTTAAAAAGACGACATCAATTTTTTCACTAATTCATAATTATCTCCCTCAGAAGAGAGCATGGCCTTCATTTGAACAAATTTGAATCCCTTTCAATCAAGTTATAATTATTCCCCTTGGCTCGCATCTTATTTTGTGGCAAGTTTGGTTGAAATTCGTCCAGTGGTTCTTTAGAAGAAGTCAAAAAAGTGAAAAGTTTACAGAGGGAGACAGACAAACTGACGCCAGACAAAACGTGATCAGAAAAGCTCACTTTAGCCTTTGGCTCAGGTGAGCTAAAAAAAAAAAGTAACACACTAGGGCTGGGACAATATAATTGATTCTGTGATCTGCACATATCAATACATATTTAGATTTATCAAAAAACTAGTATAGCAAATTCTAAGACTTGGGTTTAATATTGATGGGAAAGCCCATACCATAGTATGCCCCATCAAAACAGGAATATAACAATATTGCTAATGATATAGTATAGATATTTTTGGAATAGACATGAAGTGAGTAATACGAGTGTTGTCCGGTAAAATCTTGGACAAAGAGTTGTCATCGAAAAATAATGGGTGCACTAAGCTGAAATGTTTATTTATCATACTTAGGTACATCTTAATTTTTTTGATAAAATGTAGACAATTTTTTTTTCATAATATTTAATGTGTACAGGGCGCATGATCAAACAATGCATTTGCATTCAAGGCATCTGCTTAATTTTTGGCAGGTTTTTGAACATTTGAAATGGGAAAGTGGTCAACACAATACACAAAAAATGGGGACGTTTGACGTTACAGCGCACTGGAGAGCAGTTCAGTTGATTAATTTGTGGTAATGATGCTCTAAGAGACTTTGAATGATTACAGAAGAAAAAAATATCGCTAGATCTTTAGTAAACAACCGAAATGGGAGTTTTGTAAACAGGAGTTTTTTGATCGAGTCCCTGGGTAAAACAAAACATAAGGACAAACAGCTACTGGCAGTAACGAAAGATGCTGTCACTGTAGACCATCAATACAAGACTGCCTATTTAGTTGAATGATAGTGGATTGCCTATTTAGTTGAATGATAGTGAGTGTACTGTCCATAACTTACAAAGAAATCTTAAGAAGGTTCCATGTGTGTGCGAGATTGGTTCCTTGACTTTTATGGAGGAATAAAGGGAAACTGTGCATCAATGAAATTCCTGAATTTAAGTAGGGCTTATCCAATTTTTTTTTTTTTTTAGCAAACACTGCTTTAGACACTTTGACCTTAACATCCGTGCACCGTAAGGTGATACCACACATAATATAAAATCTCATATTTTGTTTACTGAGCATATATCCATATGAAATTTGCTAGGTATATTAATGACAAGAGGCCCAGGGGCCACATCGCTCACCTGAAGTTCAGTATTGAAAGTTTAAATATAAAAGTGGGTTCGGGGGGAGGGGGGGTGGTATTTGAACAAACTTAAATCTACACTTCCTAAGGATGCTTTTGAATTAATATGACACATAATGGCTATGCTGTTTATAAGATGAAAATTTTTATATAACCTCTATTTTCCTTTGTTATGATCCACTTTAATGGCTCCTCTATTCTCCTGATTGGTCATGATTTGAACAAATTTTAATCTACATTACCTTTTTTGATGCTTTTATATTCATGATCAATCATGAATTTGTTGTTCTTGTGAAGAATTTTAACAATTTTTCCCATGTATTCCTACGCAAAACCTAGATCACCCATTGTGGCCCCAATCTACCCCTGGCGGTCATGATTTGAACAAACTTGAATCTACACAACTCGAGGATGCTTCCATATAACTATGACCAATCATGGCTTTGCTGTTCTTGAGAAAAAGATTTTTCCTATGTATTCCTATGTTAAACTTTGATACCCCATTGTGGCCCCACCCCACCAACGGGGGTCATGATTTGAACAAACTTAAATCTACACTACCAGAGGATGCTTCTACATGAGTTTCATCTTTCCTGGCCCAGTGGTTCTTGAGAAGAAGATTTTTAAAATATTCCATTAATTTTTCACTAATTCATAATTACCTCCAATTGGAAGAGGGCATGGCCCTTCATTTGAACAAACTTGAATCCCCTTCACCCAAGGATACTCTGTGGCAAGTTTAGTTGAAATTGGCCCAGTGGTTCTTGAGAAGAAGATGAAAATGTGAAAAGTTTACGACGACGACAGACAACGGACAAATTTCGATCAGAAAAGCTCAATTGAGCCTTCAGCTCAGGTGAGCTAAAAAAGTAGTGAAAATTTTGGAATGCAGTGATGATTATTTTTAACTCCAGACAATTTGTCCAAGATTTTACTGTACAACCCTCATATTTACCATTTGCTGCCATACTGGAAGTCAATATCCTCAGATTCATTATTTAAACTTGTTATACTGGCATATGAGGTGTTAAAAATGCCATTTTTAAATAAACATTTTCATATTGTGAAAATTTTTTTTCTCACTTTGAAGATAAAATCTCGTTAATATTCAAATTCCTGACCTAAACTAACATGGGAGCCAAGGGGAATAACTTGGAGAGTGTAAACAAGTCTTACCAAAACTATCTACATGTACACAGATATTCACTGTAACCCCAAAAAATTGTTGCAAAATGCATAGTCATACAGAGAGAAAAGTTCTTGATCATCAGGTAAATTTGAGTCTGTTCCAACTCTTGCGCAGGGCAAAGTAAGACAGTTGATGCATGTATTAGCCGTCGGGATATATGACTGGTCTACCTCAACAAAACGGATACTTGGTTGGATTTTAAATCCAAGTACAGGTTCCTCATCTGTACCAGTTATGAACTGCAAAATACTTCCAAGACAGAGATTTTCCCTTCGTCCACCTGTTACAAGAAATCAATATAATATTCATCAAGATGTTAAAAAAGTCTTTTTTAAAAAAAGAAGTTCTTATTTTCATATTTTGATATTTAACTGCAATTGCAGAACAAAGGAACAACAAAGCATGTGAGATACATAAACATTACAAAACGTAAAAAAATATTTTACGAAAATTTTCCTACATGTACACATGGAAAACAATTCAAAACAAGAAATGTTGGAGCAACATATATGTCCCCATGTGGTAATTTGGGTCATCTTCTTCCAAGGGGGAACCAGTCTACCAAGTTTGATGTCTGTCAAGCAAAGGATTTGTGAGCAGTTAGTACCATTCTATTCCATTTTGACTCTTGACCTTACAGTGGCCTTCTACTCCTCAAAATGTAATACCTACTGTGACCCCACCCTACCCCCAGGGGTCAAGATTTTGACAATTTAATTAGAATCTACACTACCTCCACGATGCTTCCACATAAGTTTCAGCTTTTCTGGCCCAGTGTTTCTTGAGAAGAAGATTTTTTTAATGACCCCACCCTATTTTTGCCTTTTCTTGATTATCTCCCCTTGCAATGGGACTTGGCCCTTCATTTTAACAATTTAAACTCCCCTTCACCCAAGGATGCTTTGTACCAAGTTTGGTTAAAATTGGCCAAGTGGTTCTTGAGAAGAGGTTGAAAATGTGAAAAATTTACAGACAGACAGACGGACGATAGACAACGGGAGATCAGAAAAGCTCACTTGAGCTTTCAGCTCAGGTGAGCTAAAAAGGGGGGGAGGATAAATCTTAATTCTTAACATATTGAGTGGCCTTAACTTATATTTACATGTAACAAAATAATAACTCACTGGCAACTTCTCTGAGGTACCTCAGGAATGCAGAGTAGGCATTTCTTTCCAGTGTGTTCCTGTTTGTACCCTCTGTGTCAAATTCTGCTCTTAAAAGGGTTGTAATTCGCCTAAATGTCAAAGTTACAGCAGTGGGATGGAATAAAAATACAAAACTGGGCATCTGTCTGCATAACTGTAAAAAAAAAATAAAATAAAAATGGGGCTATATTTGAAAATGTTCAAGATCCTCATGCCTGGTTACCATTCCTCTCAAAATGGAATGTGCAATGAACATCCAGATTGGAAGATAGGCCCATATTAATAAATACACATGTATATAAAAAGAAATGAATTATACATAAATTGATTTTTATTGTGAATTCCTTTCTTCCAACATAATATAAACAAGCAAACTCAAAGAATTGTGGTCACCCGCTTTTGATGTCTTAGTGGATGGGATGCCATTATTTATGGCTATTGTGTCAAATATGAATGCCCTATCATATTGTAACAGTCCAGTGATTTGACAGATTGGTTTTATACAGAGTTATTGAACCTGATTATTGTTGACATTTGTAGGAGAGTTGAGACGAATTTGTATATATGTGTTATATTTACTTGACATTACAGGAATAGGTATAATTTATGCTTTTCATGTAGTTGATAGGTGATTATTCACAACTTTAAGTGATTTGTATGTGTTGAAATAGTTTGTGCACGTTTTAAGTTATGTAGAAATCAGCTGGTCATAGCTGTAGTAGAGTTGTCAGGTATTTTTAGCTTACTTGATGTGTAAGGGACTTTAATTGGTCTTCTGTAGTAGATAAACCATAGCTTTATAAATAAAGTCATGTTTTCTTGTAGTTTAACTTGTTTTCAGCTTATTATCGGTGGTTTTTTGCCCCGTTGTTAACTGACAGGAATTGTTTATAAATTTGGTGATCCTAAACTGTAGGAGGTCGAGCCCGATCGTAAAAGTTACGATAGTTTTCGGATTTTTTGGAGTTACCGTAATCTTGTTAATTGTTGTATTAAATGGAGAATAATTTACTTATTTCAATTTAGAAATGTATTTAGTGATGACTTTAATTCAGAAAAGTTGTCTTGTTTGTTATTAGATTTTTTATAGACTTTGCCAATTACGGGAAATGTCACGAGAGATTCTCTAACATTTTCAAACGTTTGTGTCATGTTGTTGTATAAGGAGGAGAGTTTCAAGGAATTTTTGGTCTTCTGCTAGGATTGTTTCGGTGAGAGAAGTTGTGCTTTAGGGGTAAGGAGTTAGAGGTTAGCATGGGTTGGATATTTTGGTTTTAGACTTAAGAATGACTTTTAATTTTATTTTAAGAGCCAGGGATATTTTAAGTATATTTGAGGAACTTTTGGAATATTTTTTTGGAATTTTTTTTAATAAGGTTTAGTGAATTTTACTGAGGAATCAGACTTTGTTGAAATTTGCTAGTTGTTTGAATCTTTGTAAATTGTTGGTAAATTTTAGAATTACTTGAAATTGTTTAGGTAATTTATACATTTAGCTAAGGAAGCTAGTGTATTTCTAAATTTTGCTATTGTTTATAGTTTTAACTGGGATTCAGACTTCAGAAATTTTCAGGAAATTTACTGGTATTTGAAATTTGTAAGGAAATTAGGTTTAAGTGATTAAGTTTCAGTTATTGGTTTTCACTTTCATCCAGGAGGTCTTGGAGGAAGTTTGAGAGTTAGGAGTTTAAACTTTTGAGTGTTGCATTAATTTCCAACATAATTAAGAGTTGTAGGATAAGCTGGATTTAGACAGATAAGTGTAGGGGACTAGAGATAGACTTAGACAGAGTTTAGAATTTGTTGATTGTTTATTTGAGAGATATAATTATTATAATGTTGTAAAACTGTATTTTGTTTTGATCATTTCAAGTACAGAGATTTACAAGGTTTTCTAAAATGTAGTTTCCCAACAAGATTGGAATTGTTGGTTAATACTTATAAACACTAGTGACTTCCTTAGGTCTAGGTTGTAACAAGCATGACATATAGAGAAGAAAATCTGAGAGATTTCGTGTATTAATAAATTTAGTGTAACTTAATTAGAGAGCATGGGTTAATAATAGGAGGTGCAAGTTTTGGACAGTGGTGAATAATCAGAGTTTATTGATTAAAGGGAGATAACTTAGTGTTGCAAAATAAGATTTAAGGGTATTAAATTTTGAACCAATGTGCCATATTTGCCCTTTTGAGCTCAGGTTGAGCTGTGTAACGCAAGCCTTGCCATGAAAGATAAGACAACCCCTAGAGAGTCAAGAGAGCAAAAATCATATAGCATGCTTGGAAATATTTTGTCACACGTAATGCACATTTCAAATATGAAAGCCCTATCACTTCACAATCAAAAGTCAAATTGAAGGAAAGATAACATTTTTGAAAAGTTGGTCAAACTTTAAGGTCACAGGGGCTAATAAAATCATCATATATTTGAAAAGGTCTTGTCACAGGTATTAACATACTTGTAAAATATGAAAGCTCCATCTCTTTTTGTTAAAAAATTATGGCCAAGTTAAAGTTTTTGTGACAGACGGACAGTCTGACAACAAATGAGATTTAATGTCCCTTGCTTTGCTTTGCATAAGCAGGGGACAATAAAATACAAGGTTTATGTTTTGCATAAATAATGCATATAAAGTAGTCAGTCTTGATTGCATGATGTCACTGAACAAGGCAGTGGTTAAGATTAGATTTTTATGTAATGCAACCAGCAGAACCCATCAGACTGAACAGCTGGAAAATAAATGTTTGCAAACAAATTAAATTGGTATTGTTTGCGAAAGCAGCAACATGCAGTGATTTGCTCTTAAAAAATTCCATTTCAAAACTTAATATATGTTAATTATTATTTCGAGCTTGCGGGTTAGAGTTAGGATCAAAGATATTCTTAACATTAAGAATTTAATACAGGGTTGTCCCTAGGACTCGGGGGCTGGGTAAGTTCCCCACCTTTTGTGGCGTAATCCCCTGGTTACTCTTATATCCCCCTAAACTCTCTATTAGGGGAGGAACCCCAAACCTCCTTCTACTTTTATTAAATTTCCGCTGCTATTTCAATTCTTGTGGACAACCATGAATTATATCAGTTATATGTTTCTGTAAACTTTCGGATATGTTTGGATTGTTTTCTATCAAGGGGGAAAAAGAGATGTTTCAATCTATTACTAAGTAATCTACAATCCCAAGATACTTTTTTTTCCTATGTAGAGTTTGGAATGCCTTTTGCGGTCCCACTCTACATATATACAGAGGCAATAATTTGAAGAAAAAAAATAGACACTACCTGAGAAGGTTTTCCTATAAACATGACTAATTGTGGCTTTGTTGTTCTTGAGAAAAAGGATTTAAAATTTTTTTCTGTAAATTCTTTTGCAAGACAATGATCATTCATTATGCCTCTACCATACCCCCTGGGGTTCAAGATTTTAACAAATTTGAATGAACAACACCTGTCAGTAAAGAAGCTTCAACATAAATAAGACTCATCATAGAAATTGCTGTTTTTGGTAAGAGGAGTTTTAAAGAATTTTCTCTACCTAATCCTATTGAAAACTTTGGTTCCCTATTCATGCCCCACCCAACAATGAACAATTTACAATTTACACTAGATCAGGGAGCTTTAAACTGGGTACGTTCATCTTTTTTGGTCCAGGCAGGTTTCTTTAAAAGATTTTAAGATTTTTATGCTCCACCAAGAAATTGCTGGGGGCATATAGCTTTACCCTGTTCCATCATCATTTATCTTAGCAACAGTTGCACAACTTCAACTAAAATTTGAAATATGGAGACGTCACAGAAATACACAGGTCAAGTTCGAATTTTGTCATGGTCTGATGATTTTTGACAGAGTTATCACTCTTGAACTTAGGAAAAAATAAGAAATTTTCAGTTTCTGCACTTAACCTTTGTAGGGATGTATTTATAAATTTGAGGTTGCATATGCAGGTATTTTACCAGAAAATACTGGTCAAGTTTGAATTTAGTCATGCTTTGATGATTTTTGACAGAATTATCCCTCTTGAACTTACATGTAGAAAAGAATATTAAGAAATTTTAAGTTTCCGCTCTCTAACTTTTGTTGGGATGTATGTATAAGGTTGAAATTGCATGTGCAGGTATTTTACCAGAAAATACAGGTAAAGTTCAAATTTGGTACTGTCCCATGATTTTTTTTAATACATCAATTATTCCCCAATGAACTTGGAAAGATTTTAAAAAATACAATTTCTAATCATTATCTTGGCTACAAAAGTGCAATTTACAATTTGCAATTTCAGCAGCCTACAGGGGCATTTGTAGCATCACAACACAACTAGTTCCTATATATTCATTTCAATGTAAAACTTTGATTCCTTACTGTGGCCACATCCCTTCCCCATGGACCATGATCTGAACAATTTCCATTATCTACCCTACTTCAGAAAGCTTTCACTTAAGTTTCCTCTTTATTGGTCCTGTAGTCACCTACGTTGCTATTGCAAATAGTTTAAAGAGTTTTCATATACCATGTATTCAGTATTATATTGAATGGCAAATACCTCATATATTCCAGTGAGTTAAGCCCGTTCCTCAGTTCAGGTATACATGGGTCCGAGGAATCTGTTGAACCTGCAAACAGTTCACTGAGAATGTCTTCAGACATCATTCTGGGGATTTTTCCATTTTGTAAAATGCTTAGTGCTGGAAATGAACAAACAATTATCAGTTCTGATCCATAGTAAACTCTGAAAGCATAAGTTATGTATCTCATAAAATATGAGGTCCATGGGCCACTGTGCTAGGCTGAGTTACCTAGGCCCTACTTTTGTTCTTCTCCAGATTTAAAAAGATTTTCCTTTCATTACCATAAAAAAAATTCTGACCCCATATTGTGTACCATTGCACAATATCAAAAAAAAAATTGAATCCACATAACATGAGGATTCCACTTAAACACGTACGTATTACTGTCCTACAGTGGAGAAGATTTCTTTAAGATTTTGTATACATCTATTATGTGAATACATGCATTAAATAAAATTTGAATTTACACAACTATAGAATGTTTGCATATTGATAAGATTTTATGTGACCCTGTTCCCTTTGAAAAAGTACATGTTGTATTTTAAAATTTTTCTTTGTATTCCCATGGAAGTCTCTGATCCCCAAAT